AGGAGGAGGAGGATGAGAGGGCACGAAGGAGGAGGAGGGGGAGCAGATGGTACGCAGGAGGAGAGTGAGGGCAGAGAGGAGGAGGAGGATGAGAGGGCACGAAGGAGGAGGAGGGGAGGAGGAGGAGCAGATGGTACGCAGGAGGAGAGTGAGGGCAGAGAGGAGGAGGAGGATGAGAGGGCACGAAGGAGGAGGAGGGGAGGAGGAGGAGCAGATGGCACGCAGGAGGAGAGTGAGGGCAGAGAGGAGGAGGAGGATGAGAGGGCACGAAGGAGGAGGAGGGGAGGAGGAGGAGCAGATGGTACGCAGGAGGAGAGTGAGGGCAGAGAGGAGGAGGAGGATGAGTGGGCACGAAGGAGGAGGAGGGGAGGAGGAGGAGCAGATGGCACGCAGGAGGGGAGTGAGGGCAGAGAGGAGGAGGAGGATGAGAGGGCACGAAGGAGGAGGAGGGGAGGAGGAGGAGCAGATGGTACGCAGGAGGAGTGAGGGCAGAGAGGAGGAGGAGGAGGATGAGAGGGCACGAAGGAGGAGGAGGGGAGGAGGAGGAGCAGATGGTACGCAGGAGGAGAGTGAGGGCAGAGAGGAGGAGGAGGATGAGAGGGCACGAAGGAGGAGGAGGGGAGGAGGAGGAGCAGATGGTACGCAGGAGGAGAGTGAGGGCAGAGAGGAGGAGGAGGATGAGAGGGCACGAAGGAGGAGGAGGGGAGGAGGAGGAGCAGATGGCACGCAGGAGGAGAGTGAGGGCAGAGAGGAGGAGGAGGATGAGAGGGCACGAAGGAGGAGGAGGGGAGGAGGAGGAGCAGATGGTACGCAGGAGGAGAGTGAGGGCAGAGAGGAGGATGAGGATGAGAGGGCACGAAGGAGGAGGAGGGGAGGAGAAGGAGCAGATGGTACGCAGGAGGAGAGTGAGGGCAGAGAGGAGGAGGAGGATGAGAGGGCACGAAGGAGGAGGAGGGGAGGAGGAGGAGCAGATGGTACGCAGGAGGAGAGTGAGGGCAGAGAGGAGGAGGAGGATGAGAGGGCACGAAGGAGGAGGAGGGGAGGAGGAGGAGCAGATGGTACGCAGGAGGAGAGTGAGGGCAGAGAGGAGGAGGAGGATGAGAGGGCACGAAGGAGGAGGAGGGGAGGAGGAGGAGCAGATGGTACGCAGGAGGAGAGTGAGGGCAGAGAGGCGGAGGAGGATGAGAGGGCACGAAGGAGGAGGAGGGGAGGAGGAGCAGATGGTACGCAGGAGGAGAGTGAGGGCAGAGAGGAGGAGGAGGATGAGAGGGCATGAAGGAGAAGGAGATGAGGGAGGGTACGGAAGAAAAGGAGGGGAGGATACGGAGGAAGAGCTAGGGTACGAACGGCAAGAGGACACGGAAGAAAAGGAGGGTCCGGAACCAGTATGTGAGGAAAGTGATATCTCTATCTGTACACATATTTTTTTTTCTCAAATTGTTTAGCATGGTATCGCAAAATCAAAATGCCTGAAGAGCTGCGCTCTAATTTTGCATTACTGAGATTTGTAAACGTCTTTCATTTTTTTTTGTATTACAAAATAAATGTTTGAGAAATACAAATAGGCAGCTGGGGGGTATTTCTGACACGAATCCCCCGTGTCAGGTTGTCGGGTCCACAACGTGACGATGGAGCATTCTGCTTTTAACTAAGAGGGAATAAGTGTGCACGCGAGCTGGTGTAACGTAGTCATGTCTTAACCGGAACTCGAGTAAGGAAGAACTGGATAATGCCTTCCGTTCTTTGGGTGCGCGCTAAACACATTCACGTCCTGCGACGTTAGAATTGAAAACAAGCAGAAAATATCAGACACTGGCAAAACATTTGAAGTTACAGCTTTTATCAACAAGCATCGAACCAAAGCTTTCCTCGGCTCTGTGAAGTTCCGACAAAGTGGATTCTGTCAAAACTGTTAACCCGCAGCTCATGGTGCCATACTTATCGCCAGCACCAAACACCAGTTCAATTCTTCTTACGTCGTTCTAAAAACAAATATATAAACATATATATATTTCGCCCCGACGTTCATTTTTACGAGCGGTTAAGGCCCTTACACACTCTTGCCACCTTTTAAAACTTGATGGCTTGAAACCTCTTACAACAAGAGGACACACTGGCGCCATCTATTGGGTAGCAGTGTAAACTTGGCGGTCCGGGATATTTTCTATTTCTCTCTCACATTATCCTCGCTTTCTAGGTTCGAAAAACTTTTTCCAACGTTGTAAAGAAGCCTTTCTTATAGGTATTATGCACATTTGACCTCGGGAATCCCGCAAAACCTCAGCTCTTGTGAAATACAGTTCCAGGGTAATCGCATAGAAAGCGCCAGAATGCCAGTGTGTTCCCTCGTCCTAAAAAATTTTAAGAGGTTTTAACAAGTCTCAGTCTTTCTCGGTCGTACTCTGCTGCAAGAGTGTGAACGGGCCTTTCGAAACATTCAAAACGCAAAGAATAATGTATGTGGTCTGTGAAAGGTGGGTATTTTTATGATTTCCTATGCCGGGAAGCTTTATCGGGCATCTGTTTTCTGGCTTCTCTCAACACGTTTGCGCGTGCGGGTGATGTTTTGAACGTTGAACAAGAATCCTCGCACGGAGCAGAAAGCATAAAGCAGTACTTATTGAAAATCGCACTATATTACATGGCATTCAAATTATTTTGACGGTTCATGCACGGGGACTTACTGATTCAGTGCTACTCCGTAGTTCTTGCCATTTCTCTTGGTTTTCCAGATGGCCTTCATAAGTTTGGCACGTTAACCCCCATGCTGAAAAGCACCAACCTCGTGTTCGCGCTAAGAGTGTCCGACACTGCACATAAAGACATGTAGTACGAAGCCGTTTCAGCACCATTTTGTAATGCAATGAATTTGAAAGAAAAACGCCGTAAATGACCAATTTTTCCCTCTCTCTGACTGAGAAAGGTCCCAAGATACCTATACGCCTCGCAAGTGGGCTCATTTTCGTCTTCTGCGCATCAGAAAGGAAGTAGCGGTGACGTCAGAACGCCGAGCCCTGATTGGCTGATCGCGACCCCCTATCTGAGCGTCGTCTGCTCCTTTGCGACGTCGTCTGCTCGCAACGTCGTCTGCGTCTGTCTTACGTTTCCTGCGAATTTCGGAAGTGCAGGTCTTCACGAGCGAGCTCGACTTCGCCTTTCAGAGAGGGCAGACGAAGTAACTCGAGCGGTACGTTGTTTTTGTCTAACAACTAGCAGACGCGCATCATGGGAGGGAAGTCAAACGACTCACTGGCCAGGTGTCCCGAAAAGCCGAGGTTTGTTTGCTCAGAACCGAGAGTAAGCGTGTTAGTGCCCGCAAGTTCCCTCCCAAATACTTTTTCCCTCCTTTCGTGTGCGGCGAGACCCCTCATTCTTTAACGGTGTCGGCGGGTTGGCGCAGTTAACGTCGTATGCTTTACGTCTGCTAGTCAAAGTGATGGCTGCTTTACCTTTCCCGCGTCTGTCGCAGATTCACCGCTTTTTCACCGGCGAGAGTCACCGTTGCCTCGGGAAACAAGGAGATAAAAAGAGGAAGAAAGTGACCTCTTAATCTAAAATTGAGGTCAGTGATCAAAGTATAATACGGGAAGGTTTCACAAGGGTCGCTCGGGCATATTCCATTCAGCACGCCAGCGGGTCGTGGGCAGACGGCCGCCGAGTCGCGGAGTGCCTGCTAGGCCTGACTGCCGTACTCGCTTGGTCGTGTTCGGTGTACTCGTGGCCGTTGGAGCTTTTCACGGGTGTTTGTGCATCCTGCGTTCTTGTTCGTCAGAATCTGTTTCAAGTGATTTTTACTTTTTTCTTGCTGCTTGGAGTCGGGACGCGTGAGAAGCGCACGTAGAAAAATAAACGTCCGTGGGTCGCTGCGACCGCGACGCTGTCGGCCATGCTGATTTGATCGTGAGAAGTGCGTAAGACAGCTTCGGAGCTGTCGTAGGATTTCGACGTAACCTGCGCAAAACTTACGAAAATTTCGTTTCGTGAATAGGAATTTGTTCTTAAGTTTTGTCTTACGCACATTTTTTGCGTAAGATCGTTTCGTAAATCTGGCCTCTGCACTTCCGAAAGTCGCAGGAAAGGTAAGACAGACGCAGACGATGTTGCGAGCAGACGACGTTGCAAAGGAGCAGACGACGCTCAGATAGGGGGTCGCCATCAGCCAATCAGGGCTCGGCGTTCTGACGTCACCGCTACCCCCTGCGCAAGAAGCAGACGAACTTGCCCTCCGCATAGTACGTACAAATTATTCGGGATATTTGCTCTTATAATCGAGCACAGGGAGAAAATGCACTCACTTTTCTCCACTGGTTGCTGTCTGCTTCAATTTGCGACAGCACTCTAGCGCCAGTTAAACCTCTGGCGTACATTATAATAACTTTTTTCTTTATTTATTTCTTTGTTTGGATTTTCTCCAGTAATACGGGGAAGGGAGGCAGGGGCAAAAGGGATTCCTGCCTGACGGGGCCCTCGCGCTACAGTTCAGAGCAGCACGCACGAGTACATTGCAAATAGCAATACAATGAAAATAAAATAGCACTAAAATTGGAAGCAGAAATAACAGTAGCACTTGTCACAGCCTTCAGTTGTTATAAAAAGTAACAGTCTGAACGGCAAGAAGAGACATGAAAATAAATGGTCTCAACCTTCTGGAGACGCGACGTCGTGTCAGCGCCGCCATGTCTTTCTTTTGTACATTTTTTTTTTTGTAGCTAGCAAAGATTTTTTTTTAAGCATTTCGGAGTGTTTTTATTTTTTATTTTATTTCGTGTTTGTGTGTGTGTGGGGGGGGGGGGGGGGGGGGTTCACGGTTGCGCTGTGTGGCCAGTGAAGCTTGCGGTGCAGGTGTTTAGCGGCCGGCCAACTAGGCCAAAATTCTTTTGGACCTTGGCACGCTTCACCCACTTTCTTCTGTGCTAAATCAAAGCTAGCTTCAGTAAGATGCAATTCTCCATTTAAAACAAAAGCTCTTTACTCATAAGGAAGTGTGCTCTCTCGCTCAGGCGCCACCATCGAGGTGATCTTGGAGTGGGACCGCACGCAGTCCATCATCTTATCTGCCGTCGTCGCCCTCCTCTACACCATGGCGGGAGGACTGTACTCCGTCGCTTACACAGACGTCGTTCAGTTGTTCGCCATATTCTTCGGACTGGTACGTACGGGTATAGCGTTGCGAGTCCGGTCCGCATCAACAGCTCCGGAAGTTAATTCGGCCTCTGACACGAAATGCGGAAAGCCCTCGCAGCCGGAAAGTAGAAAGGGCCAGCAACAAAGAAGTCATTTGTGGCGAGCAGATAGCCTCGCGCATTGGCGTTCGAGCGTGACCGAGTGCATTGTGCCAACACCACCAAGGATAGACGAAGCCTGTGTACTAGAGTTCTGACGTCAACGCACTGAGATCGAGCCAAGCACAGATAATTAAACCTCGAATAAAATCGATGTACGGCAACATATTAGATAAACATATTTTAGCCGGCAAATATCGCCAAACAATGGTACGGCAATTAGCAAGACACTGTAATTACACATAATAATTAAATTTTACGTTATTTTTTTATATAAATATTCCATTAGCTTTGAACACATGTCGGGCCTTGGTTGCGACGTCAGTAAATAAAAAAGTGGAGATTTCTTTTTTTATGACCACCAAAAACATCAGGAGATCCCTCAGAATAGAAAAAAAAATATATCGATTAAAACGAAAATGAAGAGGCACGTATGCTGCCTACCGTTTCATGATGCCATCCAAAACGCATCTAGCACGGGTTGGCCGTACCACAGATCAGTGTTATTCAGTTAAGTATAAGTTGAGGCAACGGCAACGTCCCCCACAGCGACTGCGGCAATCGTCTGGAAGGTGTAAGACCGTTCATTCTGAAGCCGGTCATCCAGCAGTTAGGGAACACGATTCTCACATCGCGGTACCACAATCGCTGAAAGTTGCGATATATACGAACGACGACGTGTCCTTACATTGGTAAAAAAAAACGCACGAAAAGGGTGACAAGGATGTAGGCAACCTGAAGCTTTTAGAATGTTAGCTGAAAAGCAGCACAGAATCCAATAAACATTCGTATCTCCCAAAGATGATAAGTGCTATATCTTTTGAGCAGCATGCCAGTCAATGTCACATCTCGGTGGCGCCCTCGTTCGGTTACCTTCCGTGACGTCATAACCTTGTGAACAACAAGTTCGATAGTGTTTGTAATGGGCATGGTGGAAGCCTGAAATCATAGCGCTCTCAAAGCAACAATGCCAACACCATCAAAATTGAAAATCGTACATTCCTCTTTGCTGACGTCATAGTCAGCATTCGGCCAATTCTGATGGGCCGACCACAGCGACGCTTCCGTTCGCTCACGGCGCCAATACAGCGGAAAACGAAGCGTCCCCTCCTGTATTGACACCATGCAAAATGTCTTAGTCACTATAACCGAGGAGGGCATTGTTGTCCCAAGCTTATGGAAGGCGCGCAGTTGACGATCGTTTTGTGTCCTCTCTGCGTCTTCAAAAGCAAAGGAGTCAACCGAGAAAACAAAAAGGCGCGCACAGATTCGTTACACCAACTCGTGTGCACTTTGACATTTTGTTTTTGTCGGAAAGAAACAATTTTGTCTAATATTGTTTGCGCCAAGAGTCCGAATCTTTGTATAAGTGTGCTTCCCTTTTGCTGTGGGCGAGAAAGCTGACGATTTACAATTCGCAAACAACCAAGCCACGAAAATAATAACATTCGAATCGAGGTTTTAGGTGACGGGAAGAAAGGTTTTCAGCGTCTGAAGAACGTCAGGCCTTGAGTTTTGTATATACAGGTGACAGTGTAATTCCGGTAACGCAAACCTTCACAAAAAAAAAAAAATTTAGAAACGAATTTTTTGTTGGTGTTCTATATTTTTGCATTTTTTCCCCGTGAATGAAAACGAAAAGTGTAACGGATTACCACACCCTCACGTACATAAGTAAGTAAATTACTTTACAATTACTTTGTAAAATATGTAATTATTGCTTTACAAAATTGCTGATAAATGTGAGAGATTACAAGTAATTTCGTTACTAACGGATTATGTGCACCACGTCTGGTCCCCGTCGCTTAAATCAGAGCTCATCATGGCAAGAAAACTCACCACTGCTCACATAACCTGCAACCTTCATCATTAACAAAACCATTGATATTACAAAGGTCAAACTCACAAATATCTCAACATATCGCCACCTTATAAATGTCCCGAAATCTCACCGACTCCCAACTATCACGAAATAAATCTGATTCACAAATATAGCCCAATTAAGCATATCACGAAATATCACAGACCCAGATATTCATAGGTCGGCATTTTGAGCCGACCTCCTCACACTCACGATCACCTCAGTGGCCCTTATCAAAACTCAATCACTCTCACGATTCTACACGAAACCGAAACTCACTCCAACTTACAATCACAATTTATATAAAACAGAGTCATCAGACACTCGTCATAACGATCGAAAAAAAACTTACTCCCCCTCACAGTTTCATTTAAAGAATGGGTTATCATACGGAGTCACATCCATGATAAAACAAAACCAAACTCACTCCCACTCACAGTTATGATTTATTCAAATCAAGGTCATCAAACACATTGTCTTGATCAAACTCGAAACAAATACTCACATCATCACAGTCATCACGCTCACACGTGGTCAAGCTCCGAGATAATCATGGTTATCAAACTCACACGTCATCATGGTCATGAAACTCATAGAGGTCATTGTGGTCATCATATTTGCAGCTCATCACGGTCATCACACAGCTCATCACGCCATCACGCTCACAATCACCACGGTCATCAGACTTAGGTCATCACGGGCATCGCACTCAAATAAGTTATCGCGGTCATTACACTCAAAGCTCATCACATTCATCACACTCAATGGACATCACGTTCATCACACTCACTGGTCATCACGGTCATCACACTCACAGCTCATCAAATTCACACTCATGAGTTTTCAGAACTTACTCACATTCATGAGTTCTGAGAACTCGCGCTCAAACTCACAAGTTGTTGGAACTCACGCTCACACTCACGCTCATAAGTTGTTCAAACTCACGCTCACACTCACGAATTAGTCCTCAAAACTCACACCCATCAGTTCTCAGAACTCACGTTCGAACTCACCCAGATGTGCTCTCCGCAATCACGCCTACACACGAGTTCTCAGAACTCACGCTCACACTCACATACATGAGTTCTCAGAACTCAAACACAAAATGTTTCGAGGCTCTCGGCCTCACGCGCATTTCATATCTGGCGATGAGTGTGAGTGAGTGTGAGTGATTGCACTCATGAGTGAGGAACACCGAGGTACGCAAGTATCACGAAATATCACCTACCCACAAAATATCACGGACTCATGTCTATCACCAATATCACGGACTCACAAATATTACGCGGGTTCACCTCACTGCACTGCTCGCTGTCGTTCAATTCGGTTTTGGAATTTGCCGTTCCAAGCGGGGCCGAAGCATTGGCACAATGGCGCGTATTGGTCGCGTTTGATCAGTCCTACGATTGCGTTAGGCGGACGGGCCTTGAGACTTATTCCGAGTCAGTTTGGGTTGAGGTGCGCGGTCCGAAAGACAATATACTTTTGGGAGCATTTTATTTTCCCCCACATATGTCACCGGAAACATTCCATGACCGCCTTCAGGAGATTGAAAGAACCGTAACCGCATCTGACTCAGCTAATGTTTTGATCTTAGGCGATTTTAACGCACCATCTATTTGTTGGAAAACATGGAAGGTCACATCGAATAATTTTTATATCACTACAAAATGTGACTCGTTAGTAAATTTTTCATCGTTCTTAGGTCTGACACAACGAAACTCCACACCCAACTGGCAAGGGAAGTTCCACATTTTTGAAAACCGGAGACGACGGACTAAGAAGGAGACAACACACATGTGTGTTGTCCCCTTCTTCGTCCGTCGTTTCCGGTTTTCAAAAATGTGTAACATCAACCAGCTCGCCTGCCTACTTACTTTATCTTCAAGGGAAGTTCCTCGACCTATGTCTAACGACCTCAGAGACTGTCAGTGTCGATAAAAGTAAAGTTCCTCTCGTTCCAGAGGATAAATATCATCCAGCGCTTGATATAAAAATGACTATTCAAACACCAGTGCTGCGCCAAATGCCAAGTGGCCAAAACGTCGAGAAATCCTTTAACTACGCAGCTGGCGATTACGTAGGACTGTACGGATATTTTTCTGACATTAACTGGAGTTCCATTCTGGAGTCTCCAAACGTGAATGATCAAGTAAATCAACTGACCGCTGTGGCACAGGAGGGAATGAAAAAGTTCATCCCATTGAGAAAAAAAGCACGCTCTGGGTTTCCCTATTGGTTTTCTCCTGAACTCCGTACGGCTTTGAAGAGAAAGTCGTTTTTGCATAGAAAATTTAAGAAAACAGGCCGTCCTGAATTCGAGTCTAAATTTCAGGAGGTGAGAAGTCGTTGCAGGGCATTGCTTAAGCGCGATAAGCAGGCAGATACCGAAGCAGTAGAGTCAGATCTACAGCGAAACCCTAAAAGATTTTGGAGAGGAGCTAAATCACGCAGGGGCGATCGCGCAGGAGAAAATGCTATTGTCATAGAAGGGAACGGAGGCTCTACAACTGATGTATGTAATGTTTTCGCTGGTGTCTTTGGTTCGGTTTCCACTATTGATACTGGCGCACTTCCTAATGAGACCCTTCCATGCACGAACACTTTATCAGTTAGTAATATTGCGATAGACGAGGTTACTGTAGAAACTTGTATAAAAGCAATGCGTCCGACGCTATCTGCCGGTCATGACGGCATCCCCCAAGCTATACTCAAGTCTTACGGCTGCATTTTAACACCAGTCCTTTGCGCTATCTTTATTAATTGTCTGAAGTCAGGCATTTTCCCGAGTATTTAGAAAATTGCTGTTGTGGTCCCGATTTGTAAGGCGGGCAAGCGGACTGACGCTTCTAGCTACAGACCTATTTCTTTACTCTGCTCGTTTTCTAAGCTCTTTGAGAAGGTCATCCACAGGTCTCTGTCTTTTCCACTTCAAAGCACGATAAGTACCAACCAGCACGGTTTTTTCGCTGGTCGTTCAACGACGACAAATCCTGTGGCATTCGCGACTGCTGCGTCTAAGGTTGTGTGCGACAGAGGTCAACTTGACATTATATATATTTGATTGTAGCAAGGCCTTCGACATTGTAAACCACAGTATACTTTTATCTAAGCTCTCTGCAGTTGGTCTTTGCGGTCCGATATACTGTCTTCTGGAGGACTACCTAAGGGAAAGGGT